CTCTCTCTCTCTCTCCCTCCCTCCCTCCCTCCCTCCTGGAACTTGTTATGTAGAATAGGTCAGCCTTGAACAGAGATCCACCTCCCTCTGCCTCTGGAGCACTGGGATTAAAGCCATGTACCACCTTATATTTTTTGTTTGTTTATCGGGGTAGGGTCTTACTCTGTAGTCCTGGCTGGCCTCGAACTCACAGAGATCTGCCTGTCTCTACCTCTGAAATGCTGGTATTAAAGGGGTGGACCACCATTCCAGGCAATCTCTAGTTTCTTCATTATCATAGGCCAGTTATGGTGAGGATAACAATTCAGGTTTATCTAATATTTCTAAAATATTGTGACTTTTTAATTAGATTTCCTACAAAATGTCCTTAAACATAAGATTACTTGGGTTTTTTTTTTTTTTTTTTTTTTTACTGTGACTAAGTGAAATTAAAGCTGTAAGCCTTTAAATGAAGTAATGGTCTTTTAAAAATAACAAAGGTGTATATGGGGTGAGTGCCTGCAGAACCCAGAAGGGTGTTGGGTCCTTCAGAGATGTAATTACAGGGGCTTGTGCAGGTCTGTCCTTCAGCAGTGTTCTTGGATGACTGGGAAGTTCTGATTGGCTTTTTATATGCTGTAGTCTTAATATTAGCAAATAACAAAGACTCGCTTGACTAAAAGGTAGCAGAGTGAAACAGGATGAAAAGCACATGTAAGGGTTAAAAATGTAAACTGCTATTCTATGTGAAGTAGAAAGGGTATTCAGACAAACACGTGCATATAAGGGTTTTCAGGGCCCTTGGATTGTGGAAGGCTTTTTTTAAGTATTGAAGAGTGGGAAGGGTGAAGTTGATGTGAAGAAATCCTGGTAGAAGAAAAACACGGGTGGATAACATGAAAATGGAAGCGGTAGAAGCCAACCAGTAGATTGTAAAAGATAAACTCAGCCCACAAGAGCCTGAAGGTGCAGGTGGTCAGTATCTTTGCTTTACAGTGCGGATGTGTGCCTCTCGAAGTGAAGTTTTGTTTAGAAATGTGATAGTGACTCACACTGGGAATATGCCAAACATTTTAAGCACAGAAATATTCCTGAAAATTTAGTTCATTGCTTAAGGCCTAGTTAGGGTTAGGTATGCGGCGTATCACTTAAAAGGCATACAGACAGCCATTGGGTAACCTATAGGGAGACACCCTAGCGCCGCCCCAGGTAACCCGGACAGGTGTGCCGGGACACACCCGTGAGGGCGGGGTGAGGGGAAGTCTGAGATGACGTAGAAGGAGGGTCAAAAAGAGCGGGGCTCACGTGGAAAGCCCTTCTCTCTGGCCACGCTAGCTTGCTACCTGTGGGCTCGCTCTGGCTTTGCTCTGGCTTGCGGTTTGGACTGGTGTTTACCTGAATAAAGAAGTCTTAGCCTTACGGACTACAGTTCATCTTTGAGCGCACGCGGCAACTGCAATCAACAGTAATCCTTGAGGTCCACTGTCTTTCTGCTCCCTCTCAAGACGTGTTTGTCTTGTTGTATTTTTTGTTTTGTTGTGGTTGCTTGTTTGTTTTGAGATAGGATCTCCAGGTTGACTTCCAGTCATGCTTGCCTTGCTCCAGCCTATGAGTGCTGGGGTCACAAGTGTGCTCCACCAGATTAAACAATTATGAGAGATGGTCAGATGAATTCTGAGACAGGGTTTCTTTGTGTGGCCCTGGCTGTCCTAGAACTCACTCTGTAGCCCAGGCTGGCCTCAAAATCACAGGGATCCACCTGCCTCTGCCTCCCAAGTGCTGGGATTAAAGGTATGCACCACCAACGCCCGGCTCCTTTTCCTTATTTTTCCTTGTTTTGTTGCACGTATTCATTATTTGTGCTTTTTGAAATAGGATCTCACTATGTAGCCTAGGCTGGCCCTGGACTTGTGATCTTCCTGCCTTAACCTCCTGAGCACTGAGGTTGCAGGCTTGGCCACCACTTCTGACTGTTGTTTTTCTTGAACCCTCTGTCTCCTCTGCTTTCCCTCCTTGCTCAGAGTTTACCGATTGCTATTTCCATGCCCTCATTAGCCTGCCCAGTTCTCAAGTGAGTCTCCCTTTGCCATCTGTGCCTTACACAGCACTGTATTTGTACATGGAACTCACGGTAGTATGTCTGATGCTATTCATGAGTCATTCACAAAGTTACTGTTGGCTGGGATCTGTCTTTTCACAGCTGAATAAATAAACATTGCCAAACGTGCTGCAAATGTTAGCCTACCAATAAATATGTGTATATACATAATATCTGGAGATTTAGTCATAAAACTGAGAACACCTAATTAAACAGAAGCACATATAAGAATTGTGTTTTGAGAAAATATTCTCAGTATTGAAGTTAACCCTGTCACTTGCCCCTATACACTTTCATTTGGATATGTCAATATTAATACAAATATTTGGCTGTTGTTATTCCTTATTTAGTTAATACCTAGAAGTAGCTGGCACGTGCCAGGCACTGTGGGGCTTTGGGTATCCGATAGTGAAACCGACCGTGATCTCTTCTGAGGATGTCTCAGACTCGCAGAGACCTGCCTGCCTCTGCCTCCTGAGTGCTGAGAGTAAAGGTGTGCACCCCCTGCCTGGCCCCGAATAAGAATCTTATTATCCCTGTTTACTAGTTTTTACTCTGATACTTTGAAACATCACAAGCATTAGGAAGCACTCTGAAAATAACTTGAATGATGTTTTTTATTTATTTTATGTACATTAGTGTGAGGGTGTCAGGTCCCCTGGAATTGTAGTTACAGACAGTTGTGAGCTGCCATGTGGGTTTTGGGAATTGAACCCAGGTCCTCTTGAAGAACAGCCAGTGCTCTTGACCCTGGAGCCATCTCTCCAGCTCCCTTGAATGTTTATTTTAAATGATGTTTGCATAGTTATGTCCAAGAAAAGGTACTCCATTTTACTATAGTCTGGCTTTCTAGCATGGTAGTTGAATAAGTTATTGAAAAGGTTCGTTTTCTTCTGGCATGTATGGAATAGTAACAGCACAAAAATGTAACACTAGCCATTGGTTCTTTGACTGTGCCTTTGGCTCTCTGGCCCTCATGTTCTCTCTTTGGGCTCAGACCCTTGGTGCTGTCTGATGAAACACCCTTGGTGTTCCCTGATGAAACCTGCCCGCTGCAGTTTGCCTCCTGTGCTCCTGACCTTGGCCCAGCTGCCTCTGACACACATCCCCTGATTGCCCATTGAATTCAACACAGTATGTCTCAGTCCATTCAGTCTGCCTGATGCTCTGTCTCAGCTCATTCTGTTCCTCGTCAGTCCTTGCCCACAAAGCTGGTCACTTTGGTGAAGCCATCTTGTGATCATACAAAGGACCATTCCTGACAGTTTAATTTTGCTGACACTTACTGGGCAAGTCATTCTATACTGACCAGGGATCATCACCTTCATCTTGAATCTAGAAAACATTAAGGGCTATGGTTTGTCCAGGTTTTGTTAGACTAGATAATGTGTTTCTTGTATGTTTGTTCTCTGAGCCAAAAAGAGAAGGCAGATTACAAGACTGACCCAGAGTTGGAATGAATGCAGCAAGAAGAAAATGTGAATCAGGGAGGTTTGAGACTCTGTTGGCATAATGGTTTGGCTTATAGCCCCTAGCTCTTGTGAGATAAAGTCCCATTGCAATAGACATTATTTGCACTGTGGTCTTCAAAGATTACTGTTTTCAGGTCTATGTTGAAGCCATGGATGAAGCCAGGGAGAACAATACCCTGGCAGTGAGTAACCCTGAGAACACACTCGGCTAAGGGCATTCAGCTACTGTTCAAGTAGGAGAGCAGGGAGTTAGAAACCAGTGCAGCGAGCCCTTGCTTCTTCTCCATTGGTGTTTTGCCTTCAGATTCCCCATTGCAGTTGTCATTAAAATAGAAAAGGACATTTTGCTGCCATTTGGTGCTAGTGAGAAAGTGTGGTCTGAATGCTTATTCCTAGAAAAAGCTTTAAGGGATAGAGCATGTGGTGGCCGCGCACAAAGAGAGGCATCAGATGGGGTTCTCGGGCTTGGGGACAGCATCAGGGTTGAGTATAGACTTGGGTGACCCTGCCACTACTCCATGCAGAGTTTCTTCAGCAGTCATGTGGTTCTTCTTGTGTGTGTTTGTGTATCTCCCTGGTTGCTCCGATTTCCTTCAGGGCAGGAGCTATATCTTATTGTTCTGACTCTGCAGCTTTAGCACAGTACCCTGGTCCAGGAAGGATGCTTACTGGGTCTAAGCATCCAGAGGCCTGTGCTGTCGATTCACCTGCTCATGAGTTAAGAGCTCTGTAAGTTTTCACAGCAGCTGTAAGATGGGTCATCCCTTCTTCACTATTCAGCTGATCTCTTTTAAAACTTTATAAAGTGCTTACAAAAATTCATTATTGCAGGTGATTGATGAGATTTACCGTGTACTGAGATATGTCAACTCTACCAGAGCCCCTCAGCGAGCCCATGAAGTATTACAGGAATTGCGGGACATCTCCTCCATGGCAATGGAGTACTTCGATGAGAAGATTGTTCCAATCCTAAAGAGGAAATTGCCAGGATCAGATGTGTCTGGAAGACTCATGGGCTCTCCTCCAGGTATCCTTTTTGGTTTTTTTTCTTTTGCTGACAAGGCTTCACTGTGTATCTATTGCTCAAGCTGGCGTCAGACTCTGGATAGCCTATGTTAGCCTGAGACTTAGGGTGATCGCCATGCCTTGGCCTCTCAGTGCTGGGAGCTGGCTATGCACCACGAGCACGGCAGCCCCCCTTGGGCGTGTCTTCAGTTTCTAATAACCTCGGGAAAACATGATAACCTGTTGTCTGTGTTTTCAATTACCCACACGTAGTTGGTTTTGTGCTGAGGATGGAGCCCAGAGCTTTACACATATTCTGCTGCAAGGTTACTTCCCCAGCTCCCTGCTTCTGGTTTGGAGGGGTTTTGTTTTGGTTTGTTTTTTTCTTAAATTATGCTCTCTAGATCCATTTCATGGCTAATTCTTTGCATGTGACCATACCACTAATTTAAAATTAGTTTTGTATTGTAATAAACCCAAAATCCTAAAATAAGCTGAAGTGTTCCTAGTAGAAAACATGAATGATTAACCCTTTAAATACTTTCTCCACAGTTCCTGGACCATCTGCAGCCCTGACAACAATGCAGCTCTTCTCCAAGCAAAACCCTTCAAGACAAGAGGTTACCAAACTCCAGCAGCAGGTTAAAACCAACGGTGCTGGCGTGACTGTCCTCAGGCGTGAAATTTCTGAGCTCCGCACCAAAGTGCAAGAACAGCAGAAACAGCTTCAAGACCAAGACCAGAAACTGCTAGAGCAGACCCAGATCATAGGTGAACAGAATGCACGGTTGGCAGAGCTGGAACGCAAGCTCCGAGAAGTCATGGAAAGTGCAGTAGGAACATCCTCAGGGTCTGGGCAGAGTGAGGAGTCTCCTCGGAAGCGAAGGAAGGCAACAGAAGCCATAGACTCTCTTAGGAAATCCAAACGACTTCGGAATAGAAAGTAAATTGGAATGTAGTTGTAGCTCCAGAGGATGACACCCATGACTGGGAGTTTAAGCAGTTATTCCTGTCAGAAGGCTGGAGCAACATGGCGTCCCTTAGGCTTCCAGGCGATCAGAACACAGCTTACACTTGGCTCTTGTGGTTGGCATCCTTTTCGCGCTTCTCTGGTGGAGCCGATGCACAGAACCTCCTTACTTTGCAATAGATCTGTACTAACCAGACCCATGCTATCATGTTTGGGAGCTAACGTTTTTCCTGTGCAGATGATGTGTTAAGTTTGTTTGTTTCAGCATATATGCACATTACATACGGATTTTAAACAAACCCATTCTTGACAGACTAAAAATTAAGTTTAATACATAAAATGTCCTGTTCACTTGAAAGAAAAAAAAATCTACTTTTTAAATGGACACTATCATGTCTAAAAAAAAAAAAAAAAAAAAAAAAAAAAGTTGACTTTTTGTTTGTTATAAGTGGCCTTTGTCTGGAATGTCTGAGAAGTAGTTAATGCTTTGGTATTGAAGCGATGGGTAACGGAAAGGACTGCATAGTGTTGACTGTAGCAGGGGCTCTACAGTACTATCTATTTTTGTAAACTACTGGCAAAGGATGTTTCCAGTTGCTAGATACATGCTTTCAGTTTTCTCTGGGGCCATGTCCTACATTTGCATGGATGGATGCATGCATTGCCTAGTCAGCACACTTCACAGCTCTTGCACTGGTGTTGATCTTGAACCTCTACACCACTGGTAGAGCTGCGCCTTTATTGGTTTAAGCGCTTAACATCTTCCCCTGCAGCAGCTTACTTGTAGGGGGAGAATCGTCAGTCAATTTGTCCTCCGGTTTTGCAGACACAAGAGACTGTAAAGTCCATTGATGTGTCTCTTCTCTGTAGGGTTAGGTACACTGACTAAGACAGAACCCATATCCAAGCCTCTTTCTGTAGACGTCAGACCTCTGGGAACTAGTCATGATTCTAACTTGTCACTGTGTTTATGGGTCAGTCATGACTGAATAGGGACCCAGCTGACGGAAAAAGTTCATTGAAGAAAATTGTGCCGTGAGAAAGCAGTTTCATCATTTTCTGGGGCACGAGCCAGGTGAAGCTTTTGAATACCACTTTGAAGCTCCCATGATCCCATGAACAGAAGCTTTAGTTTTGTTTGCACTCCTGTTTTGAGCTTGTAACTGGAAATGTGTGTCTTGCACTGTCCAACCTGAGTGGTCACTATAACAACCTCCAAATTGTGTAAAGTGCTTCTTTTCCCTGTTGTATATTTTTGACCATTCAATAATCACTGTCCTATTTTTATTATAATGTACTAAATTATTTAATTTTGTTCTTTTAAACATCTGTTGCTTTGGGCTTCAGTTATTTATAGTAAATTTAGGTATGAGATAGTAAAAACTATCCCTTTCCAGGTGAAAGTTGACACCTGTGTAAAACTAAGGTTTTGGTAAATCCCACAGTGGGATTGTTGTCATCCGTCCAACATGATACGTTATGCATCCGTTAGGTTACGTTTACCAAGTGACACTCTCCTACCCATTCCTAGTATCGTCCCGTCATGACCCTGTCCCTGGTTTTGTTCAAGTTGTCCATTTACAAATGTAGTGTGTTTTCAGTGAGAAGCCCTAACATGACATCCAAATGTTTCATGGTTTGTTGGGAAGGTAATTTTAAAATAAACAGTTTCCTAAAAAGATTGTCAGCCAAGGTCATCCATAAAGGTCCTTTTCTAGAACTTGTTTTTTCAGCAGGTCTCACTTTTGCAGCCCTAGGACGTAGCCATATCACTCTAGCCTTGGAGGAGGCCTGTCAGGCACTCCGAGCTTGACTTTATCAGTCTACTGTTCTGGTAGAGGAAGACTTTTTTTAAGCATCAAAGTACAGGTTTTCAAAGTATAATCCTTATGCATCAAAGAAATAAGCCTCAAATTATTTCTTCAATAATTTAACAATTTCTCAGAAATTTTTTTCAAACTCCATCTAACTAGCCTAAATGTAATCGCTAGTCTTCCATTAGTTAGTGTGCGTGCATGGCTTTCGTAATGAACACTCACGGTAGGAAGGGACATGTCTGCTTGCACGCACCTGTGGTCTCCAGCCCATCAGATTGAGTTGCACTTGTTCCATAAGTATCTGTAACTAAGAATAAAGTACTACAGCTCGCTTGTCTTAAGCTTTACTTGGAGTAGCTAACACATGTTAGGAAGTTGTCTTGACCATTTAATACAGTTCTTTGGGATAGCATAGTAGCATTTAGAGTTTTCCAAATCATACATTATTTTAATAGATAAAACTGACTTGCCATGGGAAACTTAAGCAGCCTCCTGAGAGAGACCTCTTGCATTTCCTGGCAGGAGCTTACATAATGTAGGTGGGTTACAGCACCTTTCATGAAGTGTCCCACCAAGAAGCGACTCCTCTGTTTGAATGGGTCATCCCCATGTATGAGTTTACCCGTGATACACACTACACACAGGCATACAAACATGACAAGACACGCATGGGAGGTGAAAAGGACTGGCCCCTGTCCTGCAGAGCCCTGCTCACCTCCTACATAGACTGCTCAGCTGGTTTCCAACCGACATGGGTTACAGGAACTCCTCAAGCTTCCCTTCTGATGTGGAGAGCCTAGAGGTAATGGGGCAATTAGCAGTAGCCCTACTGTTGTAAAGACGATTGGGGTGCCCCAGGTCGAAAGCCAATAATTTGGAATCAACTTATTTTGTAAAACATGTTTTTTTGGAGTACTGAACTTCACAGGGGCTTGCCTTAATTTAGTAGTTTGAAGATGTATGCGCTAATATTCTATGTGTTGAAATGTTAAAATATTCTATGTAGCCCCAAGAGTGGGTAAAACAAGAGTTTAATGCCTAAATAAATAAGCTAAAAGGTGTCACTACAGCTGGATTTTTTAGAGAAAATGAACACATAAAAAATAGGCTATGCGTCATGAACAAAAATGATGGCACCTTGGGATTGCACTATTTCATGCACTGTTTTATAGGCCATTTCATAGCCTGCACTTTAGCCTCCAAAGAAATGCTGTGTGGTGCCCGTTCCTCTTAGTGCGCTCATTCCTAAGACAGTGCTCACTCTGTTTCACTATGCTGAGTTAGTTTCCTTAGCTGCCTTCCTTGAGTTCTCTGCATCCTTTGCCATAATACTTCCTAGGATCCGAGAACTCCTGTCTCATCAGTTTCCAACCGCATAGCATTTTAGTTTAATGTAAACCTCATCCTTGTGATGAGAGTCATAGATCCTCTTCTAGTGGTGAGTACCTGTTTGCTACCTAAACCAAACCCTCAGGAAGTAGACACTGTGGGATTTGAACACGGGAATGAAAGACCCAAAAGGGAACACATGAAATGCCACAGCTGCTTAGAAATGACTGGTTCTTACAGGGAAATTACTGCCCAATGCTTTGTCTTGAGATCTGCATGAGTTCCTTTAGGGGGCAAGGGGTTCAGTTAACACTACTTAAATGTAAAGCCCGCCATCTGCAGGAAGTTATTTTCAACAAACTCCTAAGTCTACAAAACCGACAGTAACCACCGCTGGTAGAGTGTGGCCACTGACTGCTGTCACTTTGAGTAAGCTGTATGTCACACAGATAAGAACTGGGGCAGGCTTGAGTGATGTTGACCATTCCCAGTTTCCTAAGAATCATGGTTATATCTCTGAAGCCCAAGCATTAAATTCACATTTTCCCTTTGTGTCTGAAGATAACCACACGCTTTAGCATAGGAATCCAATCAGGCTATTGCCAAAGTCTAGTGGTTCATGCTGCCAAAAGGTCAGGCGCGTTGAAGATTCCTTTGTGTGGTATCAAATGTCTGTTTACTTATGCTCATGAGCAGCAATAAACCACTAGTTTACCTTCTGGAATTTTCATTGTTATGACCTAATCAGTTACTGGAAGGTGAAAAAAGCACCTCCCAGCTACACAACAGGACACAGAAATAAATGTGTTGTCACCAGGTCTACTTGTTTGTTTATTTCATACACCAGATTGGAGCTACCACAGACAGATACCATCTCCATAGCTACTGTTCTGAGCCACTGCCCTGTGTTTACACATCACTGTGCTCAGAGCCACCGTGAAAAGCAGGTTTGACTCTAAATGGGGTAGTTGAATGCTGGTAAGCAACATGTCCACAGCGACAAGATAAGAAAGAGACTTCAGTGGGGTTTGATGACCTGCCCGAAGCTTTGCTCCCTGCTGTGCCATACTCGATTCTAAAAAGTCCAGGAGCAGTGAAACACCATGTGGAATGATTCTAGGTACCCTCTCAAGCAAGCCATGGGCGGTCATTCTAGGTACCCTCTCACGCAAGCCATGCAAAACCACCAGTGGTAGAATTGACTGAGAAAAGGCCATAAGTTTCTGGGGATGAATGACATTAGGACACTTGCTTATTTGCATGTACCTGCAAGGCACTGGGTTTCATCCCCAGCACTGGGGAAAGGGCTGGGCTTGAAGGCAGCTTGGAGTGTTTTGACAGTAGTTTCCCCAAGGTGACTTGCTGACTCTAGGTCCAAGGCCACTAACAACCCTATAATCACTATCTATATGCGGCTGGATCTGTCAGCAGTGAGCATCAGTTCTTAATCTCTGCCAGCGAGCAACAGCAGCTCTCTTTCCAAAATGCTTCCTGCTCCCAACACAGATAAGAAGAATTCTTGGTGAGCTAAAATACAGATCATTTTTAGTATAAATGGTAGAGAGAGTTCATGTCAATGTTTCCCTACATATAATAAGCTTGGATGTCTTCAACCCTGTATTAATCTTACCCACCCTTACCACCCCTCCACGTGTTTAACACACTCCCTCCCCTTTTAATTCCCTGTCCTTTGTTTTCCTGGATTCCACATAGAAGACATGGTTGTGACGTTGGCTTATTTCACTTAACATGATCTCCAGCTCTGTGCATTGTCCTGCAAAGAAAATAATTGCATTTATTGTCGAGTAAAGCTCCTTTGTGTGTGTGCACATTATTCATCCATGGATGGACACCAGGCCCGTTCCTTTCATCAGCTGTTGCCAAAGTGAGATAGATGTGGATGACTCTGTAATGACCCGACTCGGGTATATGCCTGAGAGTGGTACTGATAAATTTATGACAGTTCTATTTCCAATTTTTTAAAAGTTTTGAGTTTTTCTTTATGTGTATGCTTATTTTTGCCTACATGACTGTGCACCATGCAGTACCCAGGGAGAACAGAAGAGGGCATCGGTTCCCCTGAAATGAGTTACAAAGTTGTTGGCCTCCTGAGAATTCAACCCCAATCTTCTGGAACAGCAGCCAGCGCTCTTAATCACTGAGCCATCTCTCTAGACCCTCCCTGCTGGTTCCCACAGGGAGGTTGACTAATTACCTCCCCACCAACAGTGAGGAAGAGTTCCTTTTCCCCCACATTCTTGCCAACGCTTGTTACTGTCTCTTTTCTGGTGGGTGAGATAGAATCTCAATGTAGCTTTTGTTTTATTTTGGTCAGTTGTTTATTTTGAAGGGCTAACTCTGTAGCCCACATTACCTTGAAATTCACTAGGTAGCCCAGGTTAACCTTGGACTCACAACAATCCTGAATCAGCCTTCTGGAATTATGGCATGAGTTTGAAACTAGTCTGGAACTCACAGCAAGCTCTTGTCTCAAAATACCAAAACAGGCAGGTGTAGAGCCCAGGCAGGAATAGCACGCAGAGAGTTTGTTTTCTAGTTTCCATAACAGATACCAAAAACAAAGCGTACACTACGCTAGCTAGCTCCCCCATGTTAATCTCTGAAAGCACTCCTGCAGGGTCTGTCCTAGATGAGCGTCTCCTTGCAAAGTGCATCTCAGTGAGCTGGGTTCAGTGCATCAGCTCAAAGCAAAGTGAGAGGAAAGTTTAAGGGGACAAAACTGACATTGTGGACGTGAGAGCTAGAAGTCCAAATTACATCAGGAAGGAAACAGATCAAGGAAGAGCTTCAGGCAAGCCAGGCCTGGTGACACAGGTCTGTGAGCCCAGCATCTCTGGAGGCTGATAAAAAGAGGATTGATCATATGTCCAAAGCCTGTCACAGCCACAGACTGACTTCCAGGCCAGCCTGGGCTAGCTAGCAAAACCATCTCTAAGTAAGAGTGCTGGAGACACAGCTCAGTGACATCACATGTGCACAAGGCCCCAGTTCAATCCCCAGCATGTCAAAAAAAAAAAAAAAATGCACTTTCGGAAATGCCATTCATATAAACAAACATAGCTGTGTAGATCTCAACTTTTTTTTTTCCGAGACAAGCTCTCATATATCCTATCCTGGCCTCAAACTCAACACTTAGCCAAGGGTGACAGTCACCCTTTGGTGTGGCAGTCAGAGGACAGCTCTGTAGTGTCAGGTCTCCCCCTTAAATGGGTTCCAGGGATTTCACTCAGGTCATCAGGTGTAAGCAGCCAGTGCCTTGACAGCTGAGCCGTCTCGTTGGCCTTCAGCCGTCCTTCTGTTGTTTGTTTGTTTGTTTGGTATGTGTGTGCATAAACTCTTGGCCAGGCCAGCTCACAGTGGAGGCCATTGCATGTATGGAGGTCAGAGGACAAGTTTATGGAGAAGCTCTCTCTGCCCTTACTTGGATTCTAGGGATTTAACTCGGGTTTTCAACTTTGTACAGTAAGCACCTTTACCCACTGAGCCATCTCGTTGGCCCGTCTTCTGTGTTTTTAGCTCCCTCTCTGCTTGCCAGGTTCTGACTTGATGAGTCTGTCAAGTAGCAATGTAAATGGTAAATTGGCCCTGGAAACAGGAAACCTAGGGTGTCCCTTCTGTGTTCTGAGAGAATAGCAGTGGCCTGCTCTGTCAGATCAATGAAGGGCAAGCTGGGTTAGCTCTTCCTCTGCTGGGTCGGAGCAAGAGCAAAAGCACCTGCTCCTTAAAGGGCTGGATTCTGTGACCCTGGGCACTGGGATCACATCTGCCCTCTGTTTTCAAACAGCTGGAAAAGGCAGCTTACCTAGCCTTCTCCAGAGGACAGTGGGGGGAGTAAATGACAGGCAGTGAGTGACACTGCCCAGAACATAGTGCAGACATGAAGATACATAGGTGTGATGACAAAATAGAAGTTACACCGTGACGCAGTTCATAAAGACTCCAGGAACGGAGCAGGCTTCTGCTACTGGTCTCCAGACGCTACATGGGCGACTCTAGTCCCTGCCTAAATATATTTACTCTCTCTCTCTCTCTCTCTCTCTCTCTCTCTCTCTCTCTCTCCTCTCTCTCAGATTCCTGGGAAATTTATTTTCAGCTCATCTTAGTTTTTTCATCTCTCAGAATCCTAGAACAAAAAAAAAAAAAAAGACCTGGGAAATGATAAAGAACCAGGGAAAATTATTCAAATCAATTCCAACACATTTTTCATTCCTAAGGGATCAGTGGTGTGCACTGGGACACACAGACACCTGAGAATGCTGTTGCCCTTGAGGTAACTTAATATCTCTGAAGTTCAGTATCCTCATTTGTGAAAAAGTATTAAAGAGATGGCTTAGTGGTTAGGAGAACTGTTTACTCTTCCAGAGCTCTAGGGTTCAATTCCCAGCACCCACATGGCAGTTCATCATAACCCTCTGTAACTCCAGTTCCAGGGGATCTCCTGGACTCTGTAGGCACCAGCAATGTAAGCACATGGTATACAGACACACATCCAAGCAAAACGCCCATATAATTAAAAATAAATACATAAAAATTAAAAAGAAAACACCACAATGTGACCAGGACCCATTGTATATGTGTATGAAATTATCAAAAAATAACTAAGTAAAAATCATTTAAAATTTCTCCAGTAAACCAGCAGCACCCTCTCCCTCCCCCAGCTCCTGGCGCTCAGATCCTTGCTCACTGGGAGACTGGTGTGTGCCGCTCAGGTAAATTCCTCCACTCCTCCTGATTAACTGCTGTTTGCTCTCTCCTACAAGGAACAAGCTCATCAGGAAGCCGCCCTAACGCAGCGACTTTGGAACAGAGAAGACAGACACACAGGCAATGGGAGGAGTTCCCATTCATACCAAGACCTGGAGACAACTTTAAAAAAAAAGAAAAAAGAAGAAAAAAAGACCTGTGGTGAAGGTTTGGGGCTTCTGTGTTGCTTTCGAAGAAACTGCAGTGACTTGCTGACTGTGCTGTCTGGTTTTGTGTCAACTGGACCCAAGCTAGAGTCATCAGAGAGGAAGGAGCCTCAGTTGAGGCAATGCCTCCATGAGATCCAGCTGCAAGGCATTTTCTTCGTTAGTGATGAGTGGGGGAGGGTCCAGCTATTGTGGGCGGTGCAATGGTTGGGCTGGTGGCTGAGCAAGCCATGGGAAGCAGCATCCCTCCGTGGTTTCTACAGCAGCTTCTGCCTCCAGGTTCCTGCCCAGCTTAAGTTCCTGTCCTGACTTCCTTTGGTGATTAACTACAATGTGGATGTGTGAGCCAAATAAGCCTTTCCTCCCCAACTTCCTTTTCGGTCACAGTGTTTTTGTTGTAGCAATAGAAACCCTAACTAAGACACCAATTGACACAGACATGTTGAAATAAGTAAGCAAATTACTTCTACCAGTTTTGAGCCGGAGACAAGGATAAAGTCATCAAAATGGCTCAATAGGTTAGTGAACTGGTTCATCAACTTCGCTTTTAAAAATGTTCTAACAAGTTGTTCTCAGCAGAGACAGTGGCAGCCAATGTCGATTTGCACGAAGCAGCTTGGCGAGTCATGTGGCCTTCCTGAAGAAAGCACACACCAGCTCCCTGGAAGTCAGGGTTTCGCACCAGCAACCTTTAGCTTCTGAAGAGCATCTCCAAACTCTAGAATCTCAGGCCATATGCTGGGTGGAAATAAATCTGCATTCTAACAAGCTCTCCAAGAAACACTGGCTAAAAGCACTAGCAAAGGACATGCTTTTTTTGACTGTCTGAGTCATCGCTGTGATGAAACACCATGACCAAATGCAATCTGGGGAAGAAAGGGTTTATT